GTTATGGGCCCTGAGCTCTAACTTGACAACACTGATTGATTGTTCCTGCATTATTGAATTGCTGCCTATTGTTATACTGGGGGTTATTGTGATTGATCTAGTGACTCATTGAGTACTGATCTCGCATTTTGGCCTATTGGAGCTATTGAAAGTCAAAACAAGACTATAACATTGTTATTGATAGTCACTACAGGACTCTAAGCTGTTATTGATAGTCATCACAGGACTCTAAGCTGTCATTCATAGTCATCACAGGACTCTAAGCTGTTAATTGTCAGTCAAACAAGACTATAAATTGTATTGTTGCACTATGTCTACTAGTTCTAGCTCAGATAATGGGGTCAAGGTGAAGCCACTGACCAACTCCAACTATCAGGAGTGGTGTGGTGAAGCCAAGGCCTATCTGATGCGACTGGGGCTGTGGAGACTAGTGTCTGGGAGGGAATCTAAACCTTCAGACAAGGCTGAGCTGACCAAATGGGAGGCAAAAGCTGAAAAGGCTGCTGGGGAGATTTATCTGTTGGTTGAAGCGGACCAAAGGATTCATTTCCGAGGTCTAGAGGATGATCCAGTGGGAATGTGGGCTGCCATAGAGAAGGCACACCTATCCAAGAAGCCCGGCGCACGCTTCAATGCATATGACGACCTGTTCTCAATCCACAAGGAGGACAACGAAGGTCTCATCGATTTGGGAGTCAGGATTAGCAAGGCAATGGCTAATATCCAAAATCTGCGTCCAACAGGCTTTACCATTGAGCAGTTAGACGAAGAGCTACAGTGCATGGCATTGATTCGGGCTTTGCCTGATGAATACAAGCACTTGTCAGCTTCTTTGTTGCTAATGGAAAAGCTGGACAAAGACACCATACTCCAAGCATTCCGAAGCGAAGAGCTTAATCGTCAGCGCCAGACTGAGCAAGCGAATAGAGCCAGTCACAAGGGTTATGGAAAGAAGGGTGGGGCATACAATGGAAAGGGCAGAGGTCACCCCACAGTTGATGCAGACACCTGCTCATTCTGCAAGGGCAAGGGTCATTGGAAGAAGGATTGCGAAGCATTGAAGAAGGTCATTGCTAGCAACAAAGAAAGTGGATCTGGGGGGAGCAATGCCAAAGTGGCAGTGGAAAAGGCAGATGCTGCGACGGAGTTTGCTGGTCAGGCAAGTGCTCGTTCTATGAATGAAGCTTGCGCTGCATTTTCTAATGATACCCATTGGAATACAGATACAGGGGCCACTTCTCATATGACACCTCACAAAGAATGGATTCGCAATTATACCACATATAGAGTGCCAATTAGGCTAGCGGATCACACCATTGTATATAGTGAGGGCGTCGGAAATGTGCTCTTCAGACCTGTAGTTAATGGTAGACAAGTTAGAGATGTGGAGATCACTAGAGTACTCTATGTTCCTGCATTGTGCAATAATCTGCTTGCTGTTTTGTATTTGACTCGGAATAAAGGCTTTAATGTTCATATCACAAAGGATAAAATGGAGTTTGTTCGTAATGATGTTCTTTTGTTCTGTGCTACAATCAATGATGCTGGTATAGGCTATTTAGATGGTAGTACAATAGATACAAATGAATTTGTTCATGTTGCGTCCACTCTGCCTTTGGATCTGACTCTATGGCATAGACGGCTTGGCCACCAACACCATGACGGAATTAAGCAAATGATTAAGGATGAAATGGTGGTTGGACTGACACTGGACTCTTCTGCAAAGCCAGATCCTGTTTGTATTCCCTGTCTAACTGGGAAGATGCATGCAAATCCATTTCCTTCGTCAGCCAACAGAGCTGATGAGCTGTTGGCATTGGTACACTCTGATGTTCACTACGTCGGAATTGATTCTCACTCTGGTCAGAAGTATTGGGTCACATTCATTGATGACTACTCCAAGCTGAAGGTGGTGGTTCCCCTGAAGCTGAAGAGCGAAGTCTTTGCTGCCTTTAAGCGGTTCAAAGCATGGGCTGAGAACCAGACTGGCAAGCACATCAAAGTCTTCAGATGCGACCAGGGTGGTGAATTCATGAGCAAGGAGTTTGACAAGTATTTGGAGGAGCATGGGATAGAAAGGCAGTTCTCAGTGCGAAACAGACCACAGCAGAATGGAGTGGCTGAGCGTGCAAACAGACTGCTTAGTGAACGGATCACTGCAATGCTAGATGAGGCTGGATTGTCAAAGGCCTTTTGGGCTGAGTGTTTGGCTGCACTTGTTCATGTCTTGAACCGATGCATTACATCTTCAGTAGCTCATGCTACGCCATATGAGGTGTGGCATAGACGAAAACCTGATGTTGGGCATTTGCGGGTGTGGGGATGTGTTGCTTATGTGCATGTGCAGAAGGACAAGAGGGAGCATTTGGGTTCGCATATGGAGAAGTGCATATTCATTGGGTATCCTGATGGGTACAAGGGTTGGAAATTCTACAATCCAAAGACGAAGAAGGTCATCATCTGTGAACGTGCAGACTTTGATGAGCGCTACACATACAGTGGCCAACTTCTCAAAGGCATTGATGAGCACGATCTCTCCGAACCAGTCCCTCCGAAAACCAGTCAGCAGAGCGCACCAGAGGCACCATCCAAGGATAACAATGATGCTCAGCAAAGGGTTATAGACTTGCCTGCAGTTGATGATAATGACGATGAGGACAATAGCAGTGAGGATGACACTGTTGATGATGATAATGTGAAAGAAGAAGAACAGGTGGAGGGTGAAGCGCAACAGGAGACACCAGAGCCAGAGGAGACTCCCCCACCTCGTCCTCGTCGCAGAAGAGCTGCACCTCGTGTGGATGATAGTGATGATGAAGCTGAAGTCGATGATAGACCAGTGGCTGTTAGAAGACCAAAACGCGACATCAGACCTCCAGGGGAATGGTGGAAGGTTCCTGCTGCACCTCCAAAGGCCAGGGAGGCAACTCCGGACGTCTGGGAAATGCGAGATCCAACTCCTGCTTTAGATGATGATGATTCACAGTCTGAAGAAGAAGCTTTGGAGGCTGGTCCTGTTGGCAAGTTAGTAGAGCCAGAGACTTATGCTCAGGCAATGAGGTCGCCCCATGCTGCACAATGGCATGAGGCTGCACTAGCTGAATACAACATGCTGCTTGCTAATGGGACTTGGACACTAGAACCTCTGCCAGAAGGAAAAGTGGCAATTGGAGTCAGATGGGTCTTTCGGGTCAAGTATCATGCAGACGGAAGCATTGAACGGTTCAAGGGTCGGATTGTTGCTAAAGGATTTAGTCAACGACCTGGATTTGACTATAATGAGACCTTTGCTTCGCCATCTAGACATGCTACCATCAGGACTGTGCTTGCTCTAGCTGCTAGAGATGATCTGCACTTGCGCTCAGTTGACATTTCGCAGGCATTCATAAACAGTGATATTGATGCTGAGGTGTATATGGAGCAGCCTGAGGGATTCAAGCAAGGTGTAACCAAGGGTCAAGGAAGGATAGTCTGCAAATTGAACAAGTCTCTGTATGGATTGAAGCAGTCACCTCGGTTGTGGAGTGAGAAGCTGGGTGAAGCACTACATTCAATGGGCTTCAAGAAGATTTACTCTGACCCCTCGCTCTACATCTATGATGATGGCACTGTCAGAATCATAGTCCCAGTGTGGGTGGATGATATCACTCTTGCTTCGAAATCAAAGGATGCTCTTGACAAGTTTGTGATTGAGCTGGAAAAGCATTTCAAGTTGCGGGACTTGGGGGAGACTTCGTATCTGCTGGGCATGGAAATAACACGAGACTGGGATAACCACAAACTCTACATCTCGCAGCGTCAGTACATTGTCAACAAGCTTGCACAGTTCAATATGTCTGATTGCAAACCAGTGGGGACTCCCATGGCTCCGGGTATGAAGTTGACCACAGATGACTGTCCCAAAACGTATGAAGAAGCACAAGAGATGGTGGATATCCCCTACATGAGTGCTGTTGGCTCCTTATTGTACTTGGCTACAATGTCCCGGCCTGATATAGCCTTTGCTGCCAGCGCACTGGCTAGGTTCAACTCGAACCCAGGCATGATCCACTGGAAGGCTGTAAAGCACTTGCTGCGCTATGTGAAGGACACGATGGATATGAAGTTGGTATATGGACCTGATCCTGTTGAAGTGATGTGCACACTTGTTGTACAAATGTATAACAAAGTTGCACTATACCAAGCGCCCGGTTCCCACGCATTGGGACCACCCATAGACACTGCCAACACCCATGGGAACAACCCAGGTCATCATGGGATGACTGGTGTTGACAGTATTGCTAAAAGTGCGCAAGCACTGTTTAGCAATCTGTACATACATTACAAGCGCACGACTCCCACGGTCAATGCATCGTTCCCACGTTCAGCGCCCCATTAGTAGGTCTGTTGACCTCTATTGTGACCGCCGGAACAGGCACTGGAACGCCTCGGTCTCCGCAGGGAAGCAAAAGGAGCAAAAATGAAACATGGAGCCATCATTAGAATGATGTCTGGCATGTTCCCAAGCTGCTCCGGAGCTAATCAAATATGGACGCGATTTAGTGGACAGCTATATTCACGCCTCGCGCAGAACAGTACCCGTGGGAACCTGGGATGGTCATTTTCCATACATGTCTAGAGTAATAGACACAAAGAGTCAATAGAGCGCAAATCATTACATATTATTGATTGATTGCATCAACATCATTAGTGATTCTTACCAAGGCAATTAGAGTGCATTAGGACACTTCTACAAGCTTCTAATCAGACTATAATAGCCTATAGTTTAACACTATATAAAGTGGTGTTCCAGTGGTAGTCACTTGGTGTGGAACTGAACGGAACTGAATGTAAGTGAACTTACTTGGTCGAGTTGGTGTTCAGTTGGTAGTTCAGTTGACTTGAGTTGGTGTCCAACTGGTTGAACCAGACCAACTGGATTCAGTTGGTGTTCACTTGTAGACGTGGTGAACTGCCAGATATACTGTGGACCACTGCTATTCCTTGCTGACTTGACACACCTATTATTGATGTCATCTGATGCATCTGAACCGGATAGATCATTATCAGTGTGGATGCCCCGTTTAGACTGTTGTTTGTCTCGATTCAGTGATACAGAACTTTCAAGTCAAGCTGATTGACTCACCTTCACATGTTTCCCTTTTCTTCCCCTCTTTGATGCCTTTCCTTTATCTACTGCACCGGAAATGTCCTTCAGCTCAACGATGAACTCCTTCTTCGATTTCGTTGTGTTCATTGCATGCTGCGCTGATTCCACAAGCTCTATAAGGTGGGCTGGTTTATTCAGATGTTTGTGCGGTGCGTTTCGAGGCTCTGTGCTAAAATGGTAGGCGACGCGAACAGCCTTCGGAGGCACTTCAAGCACATCAGCAAGCTGCTTTTGCACTTCCCCCCATGTTGCTCCAGAATCAATCTGCAGGAATTCATGAGCCCCATTCACTGATACGGAGAATTTGAGTGTGAATTCCTCCAGTTCTGTTTGAAATGCGTGTGAGTGCTTACTACAGTTCTTGATGGACTTGCAACAACTTACCTGATTCAGAATTGGATTCATCGCTGTCCAACTTGTCTACCTCATCCATTGGATCTCTTGCATCACCGCCATCTGTTCCCACATCATCTTCTCCTTCAGCCATCTCTTCGGCCTCTAACTCAACATCCTCGTGCATATCCTGGTCTATCAACACCGTGCGGGCCATAGCATCCAACCCCTCAACCAACAGGTGACCCATTCCCAGTAGCGCATCAACTGCATCACATACTTTTCCAGGATCAACGTGCAAACGAGGGGGCGGAGTGATTGAATCCCTTTTATTTGGACCTCCGGAATTAGTGCAGGATTGAGTGTCTTGCTTGTGGCAAGGGCTGGGTCTGCGCCGGACAACTGCCGGAAGCCTGATTTTGATTGAATCTGGTTTCTTAGCGGCTTCTGTGTCCTTCTTTTTGTTAAAATCAGGGGCAAGAAAAGATGGCCAGACTAGGGTTTGAACCAAGGACCTCCTGGATGCTTTCCAGACGCTCTAACCATCTGAGCTATCTGGCCTTGTTCAATGACTGCACAACCAACAATTATGTATTCCCCATCACATGACCACCCAACCATTTATTCATTACTGGCCGGGCAATGCCCCTTTCCAGTCCATTCAAATGGTGATCATGTGCCGGATTACATCATTCCAACACTTTTTTACCGCCTTTTGCACCTTGTTGCGTTTGTTGACCATGGCAAAAGTAGGGAAATGTATATAACTCTGCTGCATATGTTTTGTCCCGCCCTAGTGTCGTTAGTCAATGCTTGAGCTCCCCGGCATATTTCAGACCACTTTGTACAACATATGCCTCCATATATTCGTACATTAGTCCTTTATGATATATTTTCACTTAGATTTTGTTAAACTTTAGGCTATTATAGTCTGATTAGAAGCTTGTAGAAGCGTCCTAATGCACTCTAATTGCCTTGGTAACAATCACTAATGATGTTGATGCAATCAATCAATAATATGTAATGATTTGCGCTCTATTGACTCTTTGTGTCTATTACTCTAGACATGTATGGAAAATGACCATCCCAGGTTCCCACGGGTACTGTTCTGCGCGAGGCGTGAATATAGCTGTCCACTAAATCGCGTCCATATTTGATTAGCTCCGGAGCAGCTTGGGAACATGCCAGACATCATTCTAATGATGGCTCCATGTTTCATTTTTGCTCCTTTTGCTTCCCTGCGGAGACCGAGGCGTTCCGGTGCCTGTTCCGGTCGTCACAATAGAGGTCAACAGACCTACTAATGGGGCGCTGAACGTGGGAACGTTGCATTGACCGTGGGAGTCGTGCGCTTGTAATGTATGTACAGATTGCTAAACAGTGCTTGCGCACTTTTAGCAATACTGTCAACACCAGTCATCCCATGATGACCTGGGCTGTCCCAATGGGTGTTGGCAGTGTCTATGGGTGGTCCCCAATGCGTGGGAACCGGGCGCTTAGTATAGCGCAACTTTGTTATACATTTGTACAACAAGTGTGCACATCACTTCAACAGATTTAGCTGCAATAAGTGTGAAATGGCCGCCTTGGACCTTCATTTTATTTACACGGTGAAATAATGAGATTTCTATATGTGCCTATGCGGATTGATCAGGGGATGAGGCTCGTACTTGAGTCTAAGCTCTACAATAAAAATTGAGGGAGATATGAGTGAAAACATTTGCCCTACCTGTCGTGACTATTTTTGTGTGTGTGGCGCTAAAATCACGCTGGGTCAACTATTCTGCAAACAGCAATAACGTAAGGAACACTAGGTAGGGTGTACCTGTAAGGGGACACTCCTATTTTCCCCTTTTCCCCCTGTCCCGCCCCCTTCCTCCTCGTCCCTTTCCTCTTTCTTTCATCCCCTTTCCTTTCCGCTTCCCTTCCGTTCACTCCCTTCGTATCGAGCCTCGTCCGGTGACTCCGAAGTCTTCCCGCGCTTCGGACGCCTCGGACTCGCTCGGACTCACTCGGACTCACTCGGACTCGTAGATACACTTCGGGGCTCGTCCGGGCTACCTCCATCTTCCTTTCCCACTTCGTTATTCCTTGTCCCCACTCCCCCAGGTCGCTGGCACGGCTCCTGTACATTCCCCTTCCACTTCATTATCACATGCCCCCTCGTACCTTGTGATATTTGTTTGTACCTGTGGCTGGTGTACTGTACAGTTACCCTTCATTCCTCCCACGCTACTACAGTATATACTTCGCTTCCTAGCATGGAGAATCCCCATCCTGTTCTCTTTGGATTCTCCCTCTGCTAGGTGAGCAGCTCTCTCATGTATTGTAGTTAGTCTTATTCATCTCTTTGGATTCTCCCTCTGCTAGGCCTGCGCTGTCGGCCACCTTGAGGTTGCCCTTACAGCAGAACAGGATCTCCCAATCCTGGCACCAGAGCCCTACGGAAAACGTCCTGCGCCACTCCGGACTCGTTCCCGACGTCTCTCCGGTTTTGCGGACATTCCGGACGCTCTCCTGCTACTCCCACCCACCTCTGAGGACCCAAGGAACTCCATCCCTCGCCCCCCTGACGACTCCGAAATGCCGGGCGCCTCCAGCCAGATCCCGCCATCCGAGCCAGTCGCTTCAGGACCGGGCTCCGAGACGTTGCAGACCTTGTGGGCTCAGACGTACGAACACCAAACCCAAATCACTTCCATCCAGGATACACTTGCCCGAATTGAAGGACTCCTCTTAACACCCCGTCCGAGCACTCCGAAAACGACCCGGGACTCCGAGCTGAGGGGCACCGAAGCCTCCCAGCACGCCCCGAGTCGATCCGAAATCGTCCCGTGTTCCCGTTTGAAGCCCGCCTCTCCCCCGATCTTTGACGGAAACCGCAAGGATGGTCGCGCGTTCTACAACGCGTGCTCCATCTACTTCCAGCTCTGTCCGGACCACTTTCCGACTGAGTAGGCCAAAATCCTCTGGTGTCTCTCCTTTTTCCAGAAGGATCGCGCCAAGGAGTACGCAGACATGGTGCTCCGGAGTCCGAAGGATCCGTACTTCGAATCCTGGGCCGCCTTCGCGACCGAATTCCGGACTCGCTTCCTTCCGGATCGGGAACGCGAAGCCGCCATGCTCAAACTGGAGTCCACCCGATACCACCAAGGGCGTCGGACTTTCCAGGAGTACCTCGACGAGTTCCGGGACCTTGTAGACCAGTCCGGATACTCCGAGGGCTCCAACATCACGATGAAGTTCCGCCGCGGACTGGACTCCATCATCCAGAGCCGCGTTGCCGAGTCCGCAGACTGTCCGGACGAGGATGACTTCGAGGGATGGTACAAGGCAGCGCAGCGGGTTGCTGACAACCGTGCTGCCAACCAGTCCTTCCACTTTGGCGTGCACTCCGGAAACTCCGGACACTCCGGATCCCTCGTCCGACCAGCAGCCAACTCCGGAGTCGCTCGGACTCCTGCGGGTGTACTTCCCACACCTCGGACTCAGCTCCCGCCTCTGCAACCCCGCTTCCAACCTCCGCCTCCTCCGAAGGCTCTCTCACCCGGTGTCCCCATGGACGTCGACCACACCCGCTCCCGGCCCGCCGCTTCGCAGCTCTGCTACCGATGCGGCAAACCCGGTCACATGTCCCGCGAGTGCCCACTCCGGTACGACGTCCGGTTCATGACCACCGAGGAGCGGATGTCCGCCATCGAAGATCTCCTGACCGCGGCCGATGTTGGAGAAAGTGCAGGGACCTCGGAAGGAACAGACGATGAGGGAACGGCCCCAGTTGAGGAATCGGACGCGGATTTTGTCCGGACCAACGAGTGATCAGTGCGACCTCGTTGGCGAATAACCGATTTGCTTGTCTTAGCATAGACGAAATAGACGATTCCTATCACTCCGATGATTCGTCCGACGCTAAGCAAATGACTCCGGTTACAATCCGCACTCTCCGAAGGTTTCGCCCGCAGTGGGAATGGCGGCTACCCAGTAGCTATAAGATCTCCGCGCTGCCCGGCAAGCTTTCGCTAGATAGTATATCTGGTGGTCCACCACATCTTCAGGTGAACCCCAGGTGGACCCAGCCAGCCCATTTCCAACCAGTTTTTTACCACATGGATGCCACCTGATCACCACTTTTTCCATGCAAGTTCACTTCAATTCATTTTTGTCCACTTTTTTACCACCTGGTGACCACCTGGATACCACTTCAGATATTGAATGTTGTCCATGTGAACACCAGGTGGTATCTAGGTGGTGAAATTAGCCAAGGTAGATTGTCAAGTAATGGACGTGAACAGGGTGAGCTTCAAAGCGCTGGTGGACCGCACTCGCACCTCGTCATGTATTTCCCTTCTACCTTTGTAAAACACTTGAAGGTCTGTATGTCCACATCTGAACAAAACACATGTTGCTTGTTTGTGGAGCGCCGATAGACATGGCTGTTGTCTTGGCTCTCAAGTGGAACCTTGCTGGAGCCTGAGGCATCGAGGCCTTTGCAGACATGCTACTCAGGATGAGGTAGTGTGTTCTCTGAAGTCGCTGCATGGGTGCAGGGTTTATGATTTGCCTTGATGTGATACCAGGAAGTTGAACACTGAGCGCTGAAACCTTGTGTTCGTGGAATCGTCGACATCAGTGGCAACATTTTGTTTCCTACAGCTTTTATGATGCTTCTCCCAAGTGCAAAGGCCTTATTCTTATGCCCTACACTTTATATCACTAGAGCTGCTCGTCCTTTTGCGAGTCCCTCCTCAAACTCTCCATGGCCATGTCGCATACTTGTACAACAAATCCCGCAATCCATTTCACTCTTCATATCATCCTTGTTCTGTCTTTTTGACTACAGAATCTCATGAGTGAGACTGGGAACCATGTTCATATCAATGGCTGCATGTCCTCACATGCTTCCAATCTTGTATTGTAAGTTCTGTCACTAAACAAGCTTTGGTCTGCAGAGATGATCTCATGCTATTTTCACCTCTCTCCAGATATAATGCATCATCTGCCCCACGCCGTTTTGTTGTGCATCAGCTGTGCATTCTGGATTCTGCTGCAAATAAGAACCACAGTACAAATCAGGGTCCCTCATTCTGGCCCCCAGCTCCTTTTGAAATAGACTTACTGGAATGGATGGTATCTCAATAGAAAACTTCAGCTGTTGTCATTGACACGGGCTTGTTAATTAATTGTTGTTCCGGTTGTGATGGGCATCAATGTATTATGTTGTGACTTTGGACTGTTACATATGATCTTGACTATGGTGCGGGACACCTAAACACTGCCAATTTGGGACAATCACAAAATTGCCCGCTGAACAGCAACTTAAGTTGGAGTCAGGGGGTCACAGGCCATAAAAGGAGTGTAAAATATGCATCAAATTCAATAAAAAAAGTCTTACAGTGTAGTTACTCCTTAGAAACTGGTTCTGTATCTGACTATTCAGTACAGAGATCTTGCTGAACACTGTGATTACACCTTTGAGACCTTAAAAGAAAATATGCCAAAGGCTCTTCAATTGGTGAAAGTCAAGACTATCCGAAAATGGAAGCATCACATGCACCGTTGGATGAACACACATCATCAAGGGATGGGAGCAAAGGAGGCTTATCACATCATTTTGATTATCAGTAGTTACCATATTTGGTTACAGGTAGACCCTGAATTACCATATATACATCCATGCACGTGACCGTGCAAAACCATCTGTAGCTGAAGGAAATGACTCACTCATTTTTGGAGTACTTGACAATCGGTCTAGACAAGTTAAACTACTTATAAAGTACTATCATTTGGCTAAAGGATCAATGAATCGGAGCCCAAATCATGCCTCCATTTCTGTTGTCCCAAATTGGCGGTGTTTAGGTGTTCCGCATCATATTCCACCAACAACGCGATCACGTGCCGTTAGCTCACGGTGTCACAGTTGAAGTTGCCTATCTGTGACAACCGCCAATTCGTTTTCTCAACCACGATGTCGTCGCCTGTGACCCCCCAGCGCATCCCCCGTAGCTCAGTTTCAACGCCGTACACGCCTCTCAGCCTACATTCTTTTACTTCAAATTCCTCCACCCTCACGACTCCGAGTAGCATCCAAAGTGCGCGCGCAAGATCTAAACGTCTCAACTTCACCAGTCCCAACGCCAGCATCGTCTCCGAGAATGGAGTCAGCCACAACAAGAAGACTCATAAGTCATGCCTTTCTGACATAGCCGATAGTTGGCGCTCCAGGGCCACCGAGCATGGCATCAAGGTCTCTGCATCTCAATCTACTGTAGGTGAAGATTCTCATTATGGCGACGACGAAGGTAAGCGCATATATGCGCACGTTTATGGTTATTGACGCGTAGTATTTGACTGTAGCTAGCGATAGAGCGTTCTCTGATGTGAATGATACAAGTTTTGTCACGACCGAGGAAGGTGCGCTCTGTTAGTGTCGAACTAATCAGGAACGAGGCTCAATATGCGTTGAACTTAGCACTTCTTCCCCCGGCGTTCCTTTCAACTCATCGTCGACCTCGTTCCCAATCTCAGGTAGTGCCTCCAACAACCAGGTCTTTCGCCGGAGGGCCCCTTCAGCCCACGTCTCCAAACGTCCTTCGAACTCCCGCTCGTTCAACGCGGCTGTCTAATCTCATCTCTTCCTCTGCGTCCAAGGCCACCTTCACACACTCAGGAGCATTTATCGGCCGAGAGGCCGAAAACACTGGCAACCACAAAAGCAACACGCGAACGACAAGTAGCCAAAACATCGAGAACGCAATCATGTGCACCCCTCCTCCTAACAAAGCACGCGCCCAAAACCTCAGAATGAAAGGAAGCTTTACCGATCCAGCCGCTCTCCGACGGCGTCCAGGAACGGTTAGTGATGTACTGCTATCTAGTCCCGTATTAGCACTCATCCGTCGAGACTAGGATTCTACCCCCATCCGGCGCAAGCAAGACTTGTCGACACAATCGCTATTTGACATTGACGAGAACGACTTCGAAGACGACGATGCCAGCTACGAACCATCCTTTAACCAATACGAATATGAGCGATCTTTCGACTACGACCATGGCTTCACTGATCCAATTGCGGATGCCGAGCTCAATCACTTAGCCATTTATGAGACCAACAAACAGCACTCCGAAATTGAGCCATTCACTTACTCTCCCTTAGCCGACCGTCTCAACGTCGCCACCAATTTCGCACAGATGCTTGGCATGAATGTGACTCCTGGTTACGGGCTCAGCACATTTGCATCTATTCCAAGCTTTACGCAATATCCCTCCCCTCTTCCTATGCAGAACATGCCTTTACCGATGGCTCAACAACACTCCGTGCCATCACCCCTCTACCAACTGCCTACTTTCAACCCTCATTTCCTTCAGCCCGGCCAGGCAATCGAGCATTCGGTTGTGCCCAATGACTTCGGTCGTTCCCTTATAAACTCTGAGGATCATTTCCACACCCAACAGCGTCGTCGCAATATTCCCGTCCTACCATCCATCGAGTCACTCAGCTCGCATCCCACTGAATCTAGCAGTGAGCCATCCGCAGGTTCTCCGACGAAGTGCTCTGTTTGCCACCGCTCAGGAGGAGCTTCAAATACCGATCGCTCTCGTCTGTCTGGCAGCATACCATCCTTGTCTGCTGCGCCTCTCTCTTTAGCAATCCTCTCCCCTTGTACTCATCCGCTGTGTTCTGCCTGTCTTACCAGCGCCCTCAATATCGTCGGTGAAAAAGACATGGAATGCGCCGTTTGTAAGAAAGCTGTCTCTAGCTTCAAACTCATCAACATTGCTGCGGAATTGAATACTTGTCCGCCGATTGCTTCGCCCTCTCCATCTCCCCTCTGTTCGGTCGATGTGAATCGATTACCACCGCCGTCGTCGACGCCGAAGAAAGTGCGAAAGACAGAATATACGCGCGGGCATTCCTTCTTGGATCCCTTGTTCAGTTCTCCGGGAAGCGTCGAAGGTGCCGTTAATGGTCTCGGCTTCACTTTTGGCAATACAGATCACGCTCTAGACTCTGCCCCCTTCGAGGATTTCAGAGCGAGTACTCCGAAGGAGGATCATAGCCGAATCAGAGCCAAAACCGGGGCTCGATCGGACGGAAAAAATGAACACGAGCCAGTTGTATTGAGAATTGACAATGTTCCTTGGGTGGGTTCGTTGCCTATGCACTTGTGGTCTAATGCTGATTGTCCTCCAGGATATCACCCCTCCTGCTATATGCATGTGGCTTGAGCAGCCAGTCCTACGTGTTCACGTCCTTCTTGACCGCAAAGGCAAGACTCTTAGTCACGCATTTGTAGAAGTCGAAAATGAGGACGTGGCGAGGGCTGTTTTGCGAGGCGAGGGTAAGAGCCGAAGTGGAATCACCCGCTCTGGTGCCTCAACGATGCGAAGCAGTGTACTGGGGAAGGGCCGCCGCGCTCGAGGAGTGACCGTAACGAGGAGTTCTCAAGAAGAACTTATGCGCTCCGTATGTTGCAGCGTGTATATTTGTGTCCTCGTTTTGATCATACTCCTCTACAGCTCTTTCCTTCTTGGCGCGGCTCCTTCGATGGTTGTCGCCCCTCTCTCTACGGCCTCGACGACGATCGTGTTATACATACCCTCGAAAGCGGATTAATGACCGAGACGGAGATCACTGCATTACTATCATTGGTCCAAACCCCCGACGTGAGTTGTTTTGATTGTCCATAGCTGATAGTGAATAACAGCCATTTATTTGGATGTCCCCTTAGTCCCACTTCCTCAAAGTCCCTTCACTTCCGTTCCACTCTCTCATCAGCATTTTGAGCAAGTTCCCCACCGACGTTGACAGCAGGGTCTTCTGGTCGGGCGTTCTTAGAGATCTGCTTTATGGTGAGCTACCATAGAGCTTTCCCCCTTTCGCAGCATTCTAACGCTTTCTCCTCAGACTTAACCATTGCTGCCCTCCGTGTTTTGCTTTCACGCTCTAACGGACAGCGAAAAGAGACCGAAGCTTGTTCCACCCTCTACAAACAAGTGTATGAAGCAGCGTTAGGTTGCCATGGTATGTTGCCTCGCTAACGAGCAAGAGGAAGTGTGGTCTCAATCGTAAACTATTAGCATTTACAGCACAACAATCAGCTAACTTCGAGCAAGTCTGTCCTGGAGCTCAAGATCAACACGGTTTTTGCGACACCGACAGCATACCCATACCCACGATGCCAGGGCTTCCTCAGTGCATTCCCACAGTCAAGGATCAGTCGCGCCCCACTTCTCCCCCCGATGAACTTCAACAGTTGACCACAGTTAATCAAGCCTCACAAGCCGTCGATGCGTCCCCAGTGGCCGAAGCCTTCCCCGAGGACAAACCTACAACTCAAAACCTTCAGGACCTTGCTCGAGAGTTCGGCGTGAATCCACAGCTCATCGAAGCTCTTGCACAGAGGTTAAACAACCAGTTATAGTTCCCACGTAGCATCAAAACCGACCCACCCACGACCCGCAAAACACGTCCTCTTCCCATGCTCTCCACCCCAATGCTCTGAAATCCTTCGCAAGTCAATACTGTTCTCCCGTCGTAGCTTTCGTCTTTGCAGTTGCAACATGTTTTTACGCTTTCGGCTTTCTTTGATATGGCAATAAAAATGGACACGAAATAGTAACTCAGGTAGATCCTGCGGATCGTTGTACTTGTATCGTGATCAAGTTCATAGATGGACATTTTCTAACCAATTCTCGCGACAGACGACGGTTGTATTGTATGATATGTTTGAATGTGAACAAATTGGTCCACGTCATTGGAACCGTGAAGCTTCGAATTTGAAGTCCCAATGATACTTAGCGTCCGTCGAGCTTTGCAGTTGCCGCTTTGAATATAAGTGGCACATCTCAGCGGTATCGCAAACTCGTAGCCATCAGAGCTAGGTAAGCCAACCACTCTCTAAGCTATTTCACTGACTCATATTTCACAGGTAATTACGGTCCCTGGGTCGTATGATATCCCTACATCTCAAGAATGCTTGACTGACCCGGTCCCTCAGTTCTATCCCGGTCCACCGATCCCATTTGTACGTTACGTCCCCAGGATCGTGAGCACAGAGAAGAGCACATTTTGCGGTTGTGTGGGACCGTAGCAGTCAATCGGTGTGAGGTCCCCTTACTTCGTGCTTCGTCTCATCCAATGATTGGTCTCCTTTTTGCGCAACATCAACGCCGTTGGAGCATCGGTTCGCTGCCTTCTTCGGATTCACTTTGGCTTTCGACGTTGTTGCCCATCCTTTACACTGTCGCAATGCGGACACCACATCACATGCATGGTTAGACTGGCGATGCTGCCACAGAACACAGCCTACATGGGGTTTACAACCCCTGGCACTCCATATACAACGACTCCCTCGCTTATTTTATGCTCCCAACAGAGTGGTTCCCCATACAATGTACTTTCTCAGCGCCCTGCGGCGTGCCCAGATAGACGAGTACTCAATCATTTCTTATTCATCACTAGCCATGGTTCGGCGACCTTAGCTATACAGTATATGCTACTCACGCTGTCCAAGAGTCGGTCATGGGATGTAGTGAGGCCGCACTCGAAGGCTATAAAAGGTGTGGAGTCCTTTCTGCATAATTTCCAAGTTCTCAGTTCAATACCGAGGCATCTACTCCACTATGGCTCCAGCTCCATCACTGCGCTTCAGCTCATTCTTAGCTCTCTTGCATTGTACGATGCTTGCGGGCGCAGTCCCCTTTGCTGCTGGCAAGTGGAAACTGGTACAGGAAGGGTAGGCCGTTCGTGTTCTTATCTGTCACCAGATGTTAATAGGCACCTCATTATCAGCAACACAGGTGTCAGCGCAATGCAGCTCGCAGTAGTCTCGGAGACCAAGGCTATCATCTTCGACAAGGTGTACGTGCTGTGCAAATACTCGACGACTCGATGTTTACTATACGCAGTGAGGCAAATCCTTTGCAGACGAATGGGCATTCGGCGTGGTCCGCTGAGATCGATCTGCCCTCGCGGACCGTTCGCGCTTTGAATCCAATTACGAACACTTGGTGTGCAACAGGAAGCTTTCTAAGTAATGGCACGTTCATCCACTCGGCTGGCAACCCGTTCGTGAACATAAGCCAGGGCAATATCGGTGTGTCTTAACTATCTGATTCCCAGGCAGAAGTCCTAATCAACGCGAACTTGAAGGCCCTGACGGACGGCAAGCGATTCGGATGTTCACTCCATGTACCGACGCTAGCTGTGACATTATCGAAGATGCTCAACACCTTCGCCTGACCTCACGACGTTGGTATGCCTCTTCTGTAAGTTTTCCACTGATACTTGGCTACCAATTTATTGATATTAGGCAGGCAAGGTTGGAAGATGGATCGATGTTCATATTTGGGTGCGTGAAATTACCGTTCGACTACCTAATTGTTGACTTTATCCTCCCATGTATAGAGGATCTATAGATAACGCGTTTGTTACTTTCGCACCATCATCGTTCGCCCCGTAACTCATTGTCTTGCCAGATTCATCAACAACGTGACCATCAACAATCCCACATTTGAGTTCTTCCCTCCCAAGAACATCAACGGTTCGTGCTGTCTTTGCTGATAGAACCCTCTCCTACTGACAACTGCCTAGGCTTTAATGGCCTTCAGATTCCCACCCGGTTCATGGAAGACACCGTCAAAGGGAACCATTTCCCCAACGTACATACCTTACCTGATGGCCGCTTGTTCATATCTGCCAACCGAGAGGCCATGATTTTGGATTGGAAGACAAACACCGAGGTTCGGCTCCCAGGAATTCCAAATGGCGTCCGAATTAGCTCCCCCTTCTCTGCTTCCGCTGTGCTACTTCCTTTGACGCAGGCAAATAACTTTACCCCCGAAATCATGATATGTGGCGGATCCGTCGTCGACGACACACTGGAGGAGAGTCAATACTCTTCACAAACGCCAGCTTCTGCCCAGTGCGCACGACTTGTACTCACGCCAGCTGGCATAGCGACTGGCTGGAAGGTTGAGTCAATGCCACAACCTAGGCTGATGGTCGAGCTTATTTTGCTACCCGACGGCCGGGTGCTTGCCGTGAATGGGGCACAAACCGGTGTGGCAGGCTACAACAGCGTGAGTTCCGTTCACCAGGATATATCATGTGTGTCTCATAAGTACCTTCGTAGACATTCGATCCCGTGGGGTTGGAAAGTAATGCAGATAAACCGGCGCTCACTGCTGCCGTCTATGACCCTGATGCTCCTCTTGGAAGGCGTTTCTCCTCTGCTGACATTCCAGCGTCCAGCATTCCAAGGATGTATCATTCGACTGCTTCTCTTACTCCTGACGGCTCTGTCCTTTTGGGTAGGCCCTTGCTCAATCTAATGGGACAGCCACCTGACCTCACTCCAGCCGGATCTAACCCAAATGTCCAATTTACGACAGAGGGCAGATTTCCGTCAGAGTACAGGTGCGCGATTCAATTTGCCTAAGGCTAACCACCTTGGTGTTCATGGGAGTATCCACATAGAATGGAATTTCTATCACCCCCGTATATGTTCAGCAATCGACCTACTGTCAATGGCGTACCTGCCACTGTGGACTTCGGTAAAACGTTCACACTCAACATCAATCTACCCCCCAACGTGCGAGACGTATCAGGTACCCTTCTTTTGACTTCGACATACCCAATCTTCGTTCCATAAACTTACCGATGCTCAGTGTCGCTGATGGATCTCGGGTTCGCTACACATGGTGTTCACATGGACCAAAAGTTAGTCCAATTGCAGTCTACACTCTCACGCAACAAGAAAACGCTGCAAATCACCGCTCCTCGTGATGGACGATTGTTCTCTCCTGGTCCAGGCTTTTTGTTTATAGTTACCAATGAAGGCGTACCGAGTGTTGGACATAAGGTGTTAATCGGTACTGGCGCATCTCCACCCGTGGACCAAGGAGCGATTGATAAGTACGCTGCATCCCCCCTCCCGCAAATCCTCGCGCTTATGCCCAATTTTTAGTATGCTGCGTCAGACTAGTACGGGGCCGTGGTGATTGGCGATGTCTTATTCCCGTGCTGCGTGTTCGGCAATTGGCCAAACCTTTGATGAAAATCCCTGTAATCCACAAACATAGTTCATTTGATATAGGCATAAACAGCTCTCTCACAGATCTAGACGTGCTTAAGACCCACAAAATGCCCGAACATCACCGCCGTCCAATTGCCCAATGTGTCTGGGCAGGTACTCCCGAATCGGAACATTCGTATCTGACACCCTCAGCTTGGGACGTGCCGCCCACTGCAAATAAGCATATGATGGGTACTTGGCTGGCCATGAGAGTCGCAATGTGAGTCAAACCTCTATTATTCACATTGTCGCAACATGGATTTCAGGTAAAAAAGCCCTTAGAGAGGTATCCATTATTTTCGGACGTGTTACAGGTTTCCTTACCCACGCCCATCGTCCCCACTCGCAAGTATTGATGCGGCTCGGATATCCTTCCATCAACGGCGTGTTCCAATGATAGCGTTCCAGTTTTAGCAACTCGCTGTCGGCTTTTCAGTCCCACTGGGGTTACAGCTTGCAACTCACTGCTCACCCATCCATACCCTGTTGCAATGCCATCGCGATGTGGGCGGCGCTTTGATATGTTTGCGTCATAAATCATTACTGCGGTACCCTGGTACGCTGCTCTGTGGCTATAAAAGTCGGAACAATATGTTGAGCAAAGCCCAACTCATCACTGCAATCCTCTCCAATCCTCTCGAGTGACAAGTTTCTACAGGCACACAATGTTGACGCTCACCTCCACATTCTTGAACATACTTGCCCTGCTCCACGTTGCGCAAGTTGTGAACGCCGATCCCACTCATGTTGGACCCAGATCGAGTGTAAACGGACGGTGGGGCTTGGTGCAAGAAGGGTAGGCTTTCAAGTCGCGTCTGTCTTGCTTCCTTAGCTGACGAATATATTTCGCCGTTGACCTCAGCACCTCTGGCGTCAGCGCAATGCAGCTTGCTGTGGTCACCGACACTAAGGCCATCGTCTTCGACAAAGTGTAATGTCATATTTTGTCCGCCGGTCTCGCTCAAACGCTCATACGGCCCAAATAAACAGGGAGCACAATCCGTTGACAGTGGATGGACATCCGGCTTGGGCTGCTGAGATCGATCTCCCTTCAAGGACGGTCCGACCTCTGAACCCAATCAGTAACACCTTCTGTGCTACTGGCAGCTTCTTAAGCAATGGGACAATGGTACACACCGCCGGAAATCCCTTCTTTGAAGTGGACATCGGCGTTACAGACGGTATGTCTTTCAGAAGAGACCGAGGTGGTGATTATACCAATTTTATCGCAGGTATCAGTGGCACTCAAAGCGTCCGGTTGTTTACCCCTTGCGATGACGCTAGTTGTGACTTGATCGAGGATCCTAATGTTCGCCGGTTGACATCCAGACGCTGGTACACGACATCTGTAAGTTATTTTGGTCGTACAGACTTTGTCAGACACTTACGTATCTGACAGGCAAGGCTTGAAGACGGTTCAGTGTTTATTTACGGGTGAGTATTGGCATATCCACGCTATCACCACGGGTACCCTTTTAACCTCACACATCGTAATTAGAGGATCAACTGCAAACGGGTATGTGCACATTGCCATAACGTCCTTGAGGATAAACTCAATAAATTCATCGTAGCTTCATCACGAACGCAACTATCAACAACCCTACTTACGAGTTCTTCCCACCTAAGAACATCAATGGTCAGTGCCCCTTTAGATGACTTGAGACGTATTGACTTGAGACGTATATGCTAACCGTTTAATGGCACCAGGCTATAATGGCGTCCAAATTCCCAGCCAGTTCTTGTTGGACACACTCATCGCCAACCAGTTCCCCAACGTCCTCGCCCTTCCAGATGGCAACCTCTTCATCGCAGCTAACCAACAAGCGATGCTCTTCAACTGGAAAACGAACACAGAGACGCGCCTTCCGAACGTACCCAACGGCGTACGAATCAGTTATCCATTCTCTGCGGGACTTACTATGCTCCCTTTGACGCCCGAGAACAACTTCACTCCCGAAATACTGACCTGTGGTGGAGCTGACCTTGACGATTCGTTGGCTACGGGTGCATATTCCTCACAATCCCCGACTTCCAACCAGTGTGCTCGTTTGGTTTTGACGCGTCAAGGTATCGCCGCTGGATGGAAAGTCGAACACATGCCCCAGAACCGTACCATGGTGGAATTGATTCTCCTCCCTGATGGTCGCGTTTTGATGGTCAACGGAATGTCCACCGGTGTCGGCGGGTATGGAACTGGTGTAAGATTCACCCGTCCCAGTCTCCCTCAGGCGCTAAGAATTCTCTTAGGTTTTCGATATGATTAACGAGAGTAACGCAGATCACCCGGTCTTCACGCCGCTCATCTACGACCCGAATGCCGCACCTGGAAAGCGTTTCACCGTCGCTCCAATTTCTTCCAATATTCCCAGAATGTACCACTCTACCGCGACCCTTATCCCTGACGGAAGTATTTTGTTGGGTAAGCACTCGGCTTTCTTCACGCACACACCTTAGCTAACCCGAAAACCTCAGCCGGATCGAACCCAAACAGCGATGTTATCTTCAATGTCACTTACCCCACTGAATACAGGTAAGATGTCAATCCAGATCATCATAGAGATGCGACACTTAATCACACACTCAACCCACTAGGATGGAGTTCCTCTCTCCTCCATACATGTTCCGTCCCAGGCCCACTTTCACCGGTCTGCCAGCAACACTGGACTACGGAGCCACCGCCACCATCAACGTTAACCTGCCGCGCGGGACTCGCAGTGTCACTGGTGCAGTCCACTCCCACTTGTCGCGTAGAACCTGCTGACACCCCCTGTCATTTAGCCGTCTTGATGGACCTAGGCTTCGCGACACACGGTGTGCACATGGACCAAAGACTCGTTCACCTCCGTTCCACGCTGTCCCGCGACGGAAAGACACTCCGCATCACCGGCCCAGCAAACCCCCGAATCTACTCTCCCGGCCCCGGCTTCTTGTTCATCGTCACTAACGACGGTGTCCCCAGTGAAGGCAAGAAGTTCCTCATCGGAACTGGTGCTCAGCCACCCGTCGACCAAGGAGCTATCGAAAAGTGAGTGAGTTTTGTTGGAACCCCCGAAAGTTACTCTGACGGGCGTTCCTTTTTAGCTTGTTGCGCGCGACCGAGAACTTGAACTCAGTGGCCCCATTGAAGCACTAAATAATAAACATCAACCAAGGCCAACAAGACGTCTCTCCTTGTCTCCTTGCAGCCATTACGATAATAACTACGATACTAGTAATGGAAGGGATGTCAGATATAATTCAATTAATTTTCTCTCATGCCTGACCATAGTGAGATGAGATATCTGATTCGCAAGGCCGAAGACAAGGCCGAGCAAACTCAGGAGGTGATATAGGAGGAGTGACAGTATGACAAATGCCACACTCCGGCTTGAGCGCTCAATTGATCCATTTTGCGTTTCACCGTATGCGCATGCATGGGGGAGCTCCTCAATTGCGATTGTTAACAGCAAAGGTAATTCTGGGCGGCCAGATCCCGATCCCGCATTCCCGTCGCAACGTACACGCACAAACAGCGACACGATGCACCACTGTTGCGAAAGGGACGGCCTTCGAGCACCGCTCGCTGCAAATCCTCGCTCACGACTTGGCCATGGATCTCCACCGCGTAGGCGGCAAGGACGATGGCGGAGTCGATTTGATAGGCTGGTGGAAGTTGCCCCGTTTTCCTTCAAACCCCACCTCTGCTACCTTCCCCGAGTAAGTGTCTCCCTCTTCCCCTCCTGATATGTCACTTCTACGTACGACCTTGAATGGCGGCTTTTTGCCTTTTGAAGGCGCATCCGGGTTGTGGCCCAGTGCAAAGCTGAAAAGAAGAAGATTGGCCCGAAATATATACGCGAATTGGAAGGTGTTCTACACGAACATATACACATGGCGCGGCATCCTAACTCACAGCATGTCGAAGAAAACATCTTATTCAGCCCCAAGACTGGCGATGTAGCTGCATTGAACCCGGACGCGTCTTGGCATCAATTTCCCACCGTTGCCTTGTTCATCAGTGAATCGCCATTCACCAAGTCCGCTATTCTTCGCATGCTGTCATCAACTGTCCCTCTTCTCTTCCTCCATATTCCTCCTGCCCCCTCAGGCACCTCTTCTCACGATTTAGGCATTACCGAAGACTCCTCCATAGGACAGCACTGGTAAACTCGGCTCTCGCAGGAACACGCGGTGTCCTTCGGGGAGAGGTCGAGATTCGGTGGGAGTGGTGTCGGCAGAGCGGCGAAGGGAGACCCGGAGTCTGGGTGAGAGGGGTTAGAGTTGGCGGGTTTATTGGCGAGCACACATACAGCCCATCCAACAAACTAGCTCCCACTGCGGAACGCAAATAGACATTGTCACTATACAGTGCATGCCTGAGGCCTGACCTCCGAGCGCTATCGGGCACGCGTCAGCAATTCATACATATACGATACAGCTCTGTGTGCCCCGGTGTTTCAGCACCCCACTCACCCAACCTATGGGTACTTCAACGGAGCATACGTGTCGTCGATGCGTCGCGAGATGCTCGGAGCTATCACTATCACCTCCCGCCTCAATCACTACCCGCTTAGGACCCTCGTAAATCAATAAGCAATGACGGGTTTCAGCAGTCATACACTTTGTGCAATGATTACTGGTTCGGCGCTCTCTCTGCATTTCTCGGCGTGATGATTGATGGAGACGACGGAGCGCGACCCACCATCGGATCCACCAGGCTTGCCTCATTAGCATGGGTCAACGACCATACACCGTCGTTTTTGCTCTCTCGCCGATACCCGAAGGCCCGAAGCTAAGACTTACGGAGATCGGCTGACGCACTCCATCTGGTGCTGTGCGTAAGGGCTTTGGGCGATTCAGAGCATTGGCCCCATACAACCACGGGGAGAAATGACCTCAATGGCTGGGGATGTTTGCAGTCTAGTAGTCCTCCACGCTCACCCACATAGGCCCGGAATCTCGCGGACACTGCAGAGTCAGTTGCACTTCTCTCGACGGTTGCCATCATATATCATCCTCGTAGATCTGCTTGTTGCTTTGAGCGAATGGCTAGTGAGCCCACTCACTGTAAAGGGAATCAAATATTAAACAATGCGCGGTAATACTCCACTCACCACCTCACGTCTGCTCAAGTTTGGTAGGATGCTGCCTTGTCTGTCATCAAATTGTGCACAGCCACCACTCGATCATGATCGACGTTGCGTACCTCTCGTTTGAGTGCGTTCTTCAACACGACCACTTTTTTGCTTCTTTTCATCGCTGACCTCAATTCGTCGCGCCAGCTGAATTCGACATTTGCTTCTTCTCAAGCCCTTAACCGTGTCGCTAGCTTCTCCCCGGTATCCGGACTTCGTTCAAGCCACGGCCCCTTTTCCACGCTCTAGTCATTCGCCAATTGTAGGCTGAGTCTCACTGAGCCTGATAAGGTTAAGTGGCTGATTATCGTTTCCTTTGGTTTTGCAGCGGGTCACCGCGTTCGCTCAAGTGAGACAAGTGCTCCTGATAGGCGCTCAAGGACAGCCGTTACGTTACATCATCGAACTGTATTGCATCGCGTTGGGCAAAAACTATAGCCGAGTCAACTTCAGAAGTTACCCAGTGCAAAACAAATAAGATGACCGGCGCAGAATAGTGAGTTGTGTCGAATACACATGGCGCAACGTCCCAATCTACAACTTCGGCAGAGGTTGCTCTCTCTTTGGTTCACAGACCAACAGAGAAGACGCAGTGCACAGCTGCGTCTTACAATCAAATATTTGCCATTGCCATTATCAACGTTCCTCCGTAATTCGTCGTTCGCCAAATCCGCCATCCTTCGCACGTTGCCAACTGCAGTCCGATCCCTCCCAACCCGGGACAATCACTATCGTCCCGTCGACTCCATTCCTTAAGACTCACGAGTACACACACGTACACCCCATCCAACACATTCGCTCCTGCGGAACGAAAATATACATTGTCTCCATACCGAACCGCACAATGCGCTGACGTCTCCGAGCTCGGTCCAGCGTGATGGGGACATGGCAACCCAACTCATCGCTATACAGCCTGAGATAGCCTTGCGCAACCCGATGTTTCAGCGCTCCAACCAACCCATCTTGAACGGAGGGAAATCGCTACACGGGACAATCATGTGTGACTCATCAAGGCAGCGCACATAGATCATATGAGTCACCTCCTCAACCCCACTCGTAGTCGGTTCTTCTCGTAGTGCGGGCTGGTGCAGGGGCAGTCTGGCAGCTTGAAAGGCGGTCGCCGGGTCCTGGTCCGAGTCACCGATGGTTGTCTATCATTATCGCTGGTGACAAACCACAATTACGAAGGGCCAGCTTTATAACAGGAAACTAGGTGCTGCCCTCAGAAGGGCGAAGGGATGAGCGATCGTGCTTCGGATATACCACACATCCCAATGATCAATGATTGTTGGTAGTGGTGATAGTGACGGATGAACAGATGAACAGAAATGTTAATGAATGGCCCCCAATTCGGGTGCAAGTCGTGCTTCGTTCTAAGCGTGCCGCGCATCGGTTGACCAACGCTCGGGGGTTCTTCCTCAAAGCTTAGAAATCTTCCCCTCGTCCGGTTTCCCTCAGTCCCATGATTTATCGTAGTAGAAGGAAGTCCTCACAGTGATCTCGCTACCCCGCTCGGCACCACGATCATCACGACAACAAGGCTGCTGCGACGACGCCTCTTCTCCCTTCCTCAACTCCTCGACGCCCAGCTTCTTATCATTATGCGTCTGTCTAAGCACCTAGGCGGCACACAAGCATCTCCGCCCATCTCCGTTTTGGCATTCTATTAAAAGCATAAACCGCCAAAGGGCTGCGTGTACGGCTTCATACGAATTGCCGTAGTTGAGGCCAATCCCCATAGGTCGTCGCACGATTTACAGAGTCGCACGACAGTACAGACTGCCGCGGAATGCAGATACGAATCCGCATACCCGGTGACTAACAAGAGGCTGGACTGCGTTACGTATCGCGTATCGCGTACCGAGAACTTAGAAGCAGGCAAGATGAGACAAGATGCCCTCTCTACTAGGCACTAAGTCCCCGTTTGCCAATTCGCCTAATCATTAATCGCAGAAAGGGATCGCGGGCGCGGGCGCGCTCGAGATACGCTAGCATTTACGCGTTCACCGATTCCCCATAAACTAAGCGCACTTCGGAATTCAACGTACGGTGTGGTTCTGCCTGTCGAAATCCCATGGTCTGGTTGCGCCTTCCTTTACTTCTACGCGTTGATCGCGTGCTTTTTCTCCTTCTACTCCAGCTCTGTATTTGCATATGCGGATGCGCTCCGAGCCGGTTCGTCCTCGTCGGTGCCATCCTTGTCAACGTAACCATCGACGATACGTTTGGGGATCAATTCTACACGCTATTTCCCCAATATACGCACCCGTTCCTACCCCCAAACCAACACGATCGCTACCCCAAGTACATCCCGAACACCAACACAGTGCCTCCGGTCTGGAAACAGGGGCCCGCATGTACGACTTGTGGGGTAAAGCTCGATCAGGAGCAGGTGATGAGTGGGACGTGGTACGACGGGAGGTGGGACGAGCACTCGAAGGAGCAGACGAGGGTTGAGTTTACGTTCTGGGGTGTGTCTGTGTTCCTTCCCCCTTCCACAATGATATGCTATGTGTCGTATTGCCCCAGGTACCGCGATATACATCTACTCAATCGTCTCCAACCGCCTTACTGATCTCCAAAATTACGAATTCTACATCGACAACCCCAACCTCCCTGTCGGAAACTTCACCTACTCCGCTGATGGTTCGAACAGCTATATATATCACTACCTCCTCTACTCGAACACTGATCTCCAGGACGGGCAGCATACATTCACGCTGGCGTCATCAAAACCGGATGATGGATCGGTGAATGGGATTCTTATGTTGGTATTGTTTGATTATGCAGTCTATACGTGAGTTCTATCATCTATCTGTTTCTATCTGAATCTACGCCGAACCCGGTTCCGACATCCCCTCCCTCTTACCGTCATTCATATTATATAGGCTCGACATCGACATTGACACCCCTTCTTCATCCACTCAACAACACTATCCGACGCGAACCAGCAGGGCATCTGCTACCACTACTGCGCCGCTCAGTACCGTGCATTTATATCAAGCGCTCTCAGGCTTGCTCGGGGGTATCGCTGCGATCTCGGTCGGGGTTTGCATGTATTCACTGAGGCATAAGTTCAGGAAGCTTTAGAGTCTTTACTCCTTACTTACGGATTTGTAACAGACCCGAGGTAGTCCTTTGATGAAGAACTTGAGGTGTATGTGCGCATAGTTACAGTCGTCCCCAAACAATCATTACTCTGTATCCAGTATTGATGTCCAGACTCACACAGAGTATGAAAGGCGGCAAACGACCGCGTATATGTTCGTCAATGAGCCACGATAATGTGTAACGCGTGCGCCCTGCTCGCCAAACTTGGACGGAGCTGCCTATGTGATTCGCCGTTCGTGCGAGTAGGGGATAGCTATTCAACGTTCAAGCACCTAGCACTCAGCGCTAGCACAAGGTCCCGAGGGCGAGCGGGGAGATGAAATACAACTGTAATCGCAGTCTCGTAGAAACAATTTCGTGTTGACGATGAAATGTGAACATGAATGAAGAAGAACAGACTACATTTGCGGATTACAGTTACATCAATAATCGAAATTCGACCAATCGACGAACACGCAGTACGGGATAAATTACATTGCCAGTCATGATTGTGCACTCGTTTGACGCAGCATACTAGAAGCTCAGTAAGCGTGAGCGTTCGCGGGGAGGAGGGAATACGGCGTACTTATCAATGGCGCCTTGGTCTACGGGTGGAGACGCGCCGGTACCGATTATCACCCTATGCCCCACACTCGGTACGCCTCCATCGGTAACGACAAACAAAAAGCCCGGTCCAGGAGAGAACAACTGTCCATTGCGCGGCGCGGTGACTTGCAGCGTTCTCCTGTTGCGGGACAGCGTAGACTGCAATTGGACAAGCTTCTGGTCCATGTGCACGCCGTGCGTCGCGAATCCAAGATCCATCAATGACACTGAGCATCGGTTAGCCGTAGAATCCAGGTTGGGAATCCAGTATGTCAAAGCGACAGAAATTACCTGATACGTCTCGAGCGTTGGGCGGCAGATTAACGCTTAGGGTGAACGTTTTGCCAAAGTCCACAGTGGCAGGTACACCGCTGACGACAGTAGGCCGACTGCTGAACATATACGGGGGTGATAAAAATTCCATTCTATATGGGTACCCGCCATGAATGTCAAAGTGATTAGTCTTAAAGGGCATGGGTCTCGCACCTGTACTCAGTCGGAAACCTGCCCTCGGTTGTGAATTGCTCGTTAGGGTTAGATCCAGCTGGGATACACATATGTATGTGGCTGTCTTATTATAATCATTGATGAAGGTGGACCTACCTAAGAGGACAGAGCCGTCGGGAGTAAGCGAGGCACTTGAATGGTACATCCTTGGAACCTTCGACGCTGGAATGCCAGCAGAAGAGAAACGCCGTCCAACAGGTGCGTCGGGGTCATATACGGCAGCAGTGAGCGCTGGCTTATCTGCATTACTTTGGAACCCCACGGGATCGAGTGTCTTAGGCACAGTCAGCAAACAATATCCATATCCTTGTAAACGCAACAAAAAACTCACGCCGTTAATGCCCGCCACACCGGTTTGGGCACCATTCACTGCAAGCACGCGACCGTCGGGCAGTAAGATAAGCTCGACCATCAGCCTCGGCTGTGGCATGGACTCCACTTTCCAGCCGGACTCGATACCTGCTGGGGAGAGCACCATCCGTGCACACTGGGCCGAAGCTGGCATCTGCGAGGAGTACTGGGTCTCCAGCAGAGTGTCGTCGACGACGGAGCCCCCACATATCATGATTTCTGGTGTGAAGTTGTTCGCCGGTGTCAAAGGAAGCAAAACAGCGGACGCGGAGAAGGGGGAGCTGATGCGGACGCCGTTCGGAATGCCTGGGAGCCGCGTCTCGGTGTTGGTCTTCCAGTCGAACAGCATGGCCTGCTGATTCGCGGACACGAATAAACGACCGTCGGGGAGGGTGTGGACGTTGGGGAAGTGGTTCCCCTTCATGGTGTCTACCATGAACTTGGTAGGAATCTGCAGGCCATTGAAGCCTACATGTATAATTTCCATTAGGAGGGTTCACTCAATTGGCAGAGGAGGTACGAACCATTGATATTCTTGGGAGGGAAGAACTCGAATGTGGGGTTGTTGATGGTCGCGTTGTTGATAAATCTACATAGCGAGATAATGAGTCACAAGACAAACACAGTGATGGTGTTCAAGTGAGTCACCCGTTAGCCATAGATCCTCTACCGTCACGAGGGTCAAGTCAATAAACAGGCCGGCCACAAATATATTTCACGGACCCAAAAATCATCATCGATCCATCTTCCAACCTTGCCTATCCAGTGATTGAATCAGTAGCGACATTCAGGCTCAACCGAGAAAAAACATACAGAAGCGGCATACCAGCGGCGCGAAGTCAGCCGAAGGTGCTGCGCGTCCTCGATAATATCACAGCTCGCATCATTGCAGGGCGTGAACATGCGAAGTGCTTGCCGTCCATCAGGGCCTAAAATCGCGTTAAATATTTAATTATTTCGTTCCCCGTCCCGAATCCGAGGTGATTGGCCATCCAGGCTCGGCGCTCAGCACTCGGGTTTTGGGAAGGATGCTCACCAATATCGCCCTGGCCTATATCGACAAACGGGTTGCCCGCCGAGTGTATGAACGTGCCGTTGCTCAGGAAGCTCCCCGTCGCGCACCAGGTATTCGTGATCGGGTTCAGCGCGCGCACGGTGCGCGAGGGCAGGTCGATCTCGGCGGACCACGCGGAGTGACCCTGCGTTTGAAGGGGGTTTGCCTCACTGGATATCGATTTCAGTAGTAAATTACAATGCACCTACAGCGATTTGCATATATATAAGACGTACACTTTGTCGAAGATGATGGCCTTGGTCTCCGAGACCACCGCGAGCTGCATCGCGCTTACTCCCGTGGTCCTAAGAACGTCGCACGAGGCATCAACATTTCACCATACGCCAACTTGCATGTCGGATAGAAATACAGCGATAAACGACCTACCCTTCTTGTACCAGCCGCCACCTCCCCCCAACAGACGGGACTGCGCCCACACACTGAAGGAGAGCCAAGGCTACGAATGCGCTGAAGCGCAGTGATAGAGCAAGAGTCATCGTGACGGAGCAGAATATATAGATGATACCCCAGACTCCAGGAAAAATTGGACTGAGAGGAGCTTGGAGAACACACACAGGAAGGATCATGAGTCTTTATAGCGTTCGAATGCGGCTTTTCTGCCGTGTGCATCCCACGAGCGACCAAGTTTGGGGCGGCGTGAGTGCAAGGATCGGGATGCTGTAGTTAAGGTCCCCGAACCTTGGTCATGAATGTATAAGAAAAGACTGGGCACTCATCTATCTTGCCATGCCGAAGGCCACTGAGAAAGAGAATCACCCCGTTAGGCACCAGAACACGAAAGAATATAGAGCCAGTGTTGGACGTATAGAGAGTGCTAGGATGAGTAACCACGATGCAGGTTACTAATCGTATATCGTGAAGGAGCATCGCCCGTCGAATCATGTTTGTCGCGTTGACGTCGCGTTGCAAGCCCATAAAGGAGGGAAGCGACGCTCCAATGTCGGGACCGTGAACCGTAGATTCGTACGGTGAACTGATAGTGCCGGTGCTCCACCCCTCCCCCACGTTGATGCTCTGCAAAAAGAGCGACCAATCACTGGGCGGGCCTCATCATAAAAACGAAGTTGCACAAAATCAGAATAAGGGCAGGCCTCACACCGATTGATAAATGGCCATTATTCTGGGCTACTTCTCCAATACTTCTCTCACACAATCGCGGAATATGCAAATATGATCCTTGCGATGCTCACGATCCTGAGACGAAGGGGAATTCAGTGTATTCTGCCTATCATCCGACCCAGTGAACGTGACTATGCACCTGTGAAATATGAATTATGAGCAAGTAGAACAGTGCACAAAGGGTAGTTCACGCTGACTGACCCAGCTGAGAGGTGCCCTATAACCTTTGAGCGGCAACTACGAAGCAGAACAAAGCACAGACAGTTCACGCGGACGGCCGGAACGTGGAAGGGCGGACGGACTGGTTTACACTGGACATGACTGGAGAACCCGCGCTCTGGCCTTCACGTGCTGACCGTCGACATACTAATAATCGACAACTTTCGCGTGTGTCTCTGTTAGTATATCGGTTAGTACACGCGCCTGTCACCCGTCGCAACATAGAGGGTCGCGCGAAAGCTGGGTTCGACTCCCAGACAGAGAGTAATGGAGCATTGTACATTTTTTCCTCTCGACGTTCAGGAACCCAAAGATAGAGGAGGTGTGCGTAGACACATACTCCGGCAATCGAATGCGCGCCCTCCAAAAAGTTTCCCCCTCCCCTATCAACCTCTCATTCTTTCTCGCTGACCGTTCTCGGCGATACTCGAGATTATGGAGGCATTGATCGCGGACCTGTCACGCTACCAGATCTCACAGTTCTTTTCTTTACAAAGAACGCGGCTGTGAGCCTGTGACACAACAGCAATGCGGGCGTGTCTGCCAACCCCTCATCGTTCAAGGTGGGACCATCTACACTGTCGTCGCCGGAGACTATGCTGTCCAGTTCCGTGACCAGCTCCTGGGATATGCCGAGGCGGCTTATCCATAATTCGTCGCGCACCACCAGCATGCTGGCAAGTTGGAGGACCTCGACGTCTACTTGATGAATAAAATCGGTGGTATTTCGATGTATCTCGTTGGAAGAGCTGTATGTATCGCAACGAGTTTCAACTCCTCCATCAAGGTTTGTGGGCTCCAAGTGTCCCCGCAGGTAAGAACGCCCCGGTAACTCGTCTGTTTTCTGCCTCTGCCTGGCCCAACACTCCGGCTTCCGCCAGACCCTAGAATCCCTCATTGCCCGTCTCCCGGGCCTCTTTGCCGGGGACTGCTCGATGGTGCCCAACCTCCTCGACCTCCTCGAGAACAACCTCCACGTCGACCCCGGCCCGAGGCTTGTAGGCATCTGTGACTGGAGAGATGTGGAGATCAGCCCGTTTGGGATGTCGCTCTGCGGTCTCGAGACCATGCTTGGTATGGACAGAATGGGAAAGGGATAGTGCTCATGCCGATCATGAGGCCCTCCGAAGCGTCTTCCGGGGGGCCTTCAACCAGGCTATGGGAGACCCCCGCGTCGAAGTCGCCAGGTTCGTTAGCATCTTCCTGGCAAATGGATGGGAGTACAATGAGGCGGATGAAAAGGTGGTTGTGGGCCCTTGACGCGGCGGTTTTGGGGAACTTCGTCTCAGCTTCGCAGTGATTTGTGTTTCGGTAATTTCTGCCGTGCCATATACATGTAGGTCAATCCATATATCCTCTCCAGCATCTATATAGTTGGCTGGCTGTAGGCTGTGGACCGACCTCTATATCGACAGTCGAGCCTCTTAGAATGACAGAGATTGTTGTCTCGCCCAATCCCGTCTCGCATGCAAACCCCACTCTGATTTCCCTTCGAACCCAATACCCTGTTACATCACTATCACCCTCACCCCACCTGTACGCAAATTCAAATACCTTCCATGGCCACTTGAGCTTGAGCCCGAGACGCTAAAAACCTCTCCTCCTCCGCCCGACTCATACAGTACGTGAACCGCTCGCCCGCCCTCAACCTCTCTTCCACCCGCCTCCACGCCTTCTCGCTCTTCTTCCCTCCCGCCCTACCCCTCCCTCGAGGAGGCGCCTCAAACTTGCTCCCCACCGCCTGCCCCGCCGCCCCGCACCCGGGACACCGCACCCACCGCTCATTGAGCGGGCGCCACCACGCATCCGGATGGCACTTCCTCAGCTCCTCAACGTCCACCCCCTCGATAGCCTCTTCTACGCTGGTCTCCCCTTCCTCCCTCCCTTCCTCGCCCGATTCCCCGCTCCCCATCCTACTCCCCGAATCGCGGTTGAGATGGTACGCCCTAACCCCCATCTCCGCCTCCTCCCACCGCACCGGGTCCCTCTGCACCCGCCCCCACGCCACCTCAAGCGCCTTGCTGTACCACCCCGCCGGCGCAACCCACCACCCCATCCTCGCACCATCCACCCAAGTCCCACCGCCACCGCCACCATCGCCATCCCCAACATTCTCCCCCCAAACCACATACTCGTTCCCCGGCACAACAGCGGGCTTGAACACGCGCCGGCAGGGCACGCACACGAACTTGGGGCGGTACGGCGCGCGGCAGGCGTGGTGTCCCGCTGGCGTGAGGGTGTAGTCGATCCAATCGCTCTCATTGTCGGTGGGTAAGGGTCGAGGCAGGGTGCGCGCGTCGCGAGCGGCGTAGGCGATCCGTTCGTTTGCGTCGATATCCGAGTCGGGGTACGGGCAGCACTCGCGGCTGCACCCCCGCAGGCGCACGGCGCCAACGCGGCATCCTAGTCCGCGCGCTCTATGTTTCCTGCGAACACAGGATCGGATGTAAGCCCAATATTAGTGGGTAGTTATGGGTAGAGCATGAGTATATGGGCTATAAGGATACGAGAATGCGAGACTGTGTACCTTTTGCACGACATTCTTAAGAACAAATACTGGTGTTGGCAGTTGGTGAGCGCGAACGTGCCCGAGTCACTAGTAGAAGAGGGCACTGGCAGTAAATCTGATGCGCTAATTTGCTTTGCTAAAGCAGCCAGCGAGTCGACAATCAATGCCACAAGTTGGGTGCGGACTTTCGAAGAAATACCCCTCAACCTTGAGTCAACTCCGAGTCGGACAAGGAGCAAGCGGGCCGGCTTCCGAAACGGACGTTCCGATTAGATCTTAGACTCGACTTTCGATAAGACAGCTGATGGATTCAATATCAGCCACAACCATAGTCGGCAAACCACCAAACCACCAAGCTTCAAGTCACATCTACGTATCGCTTGCATTGCATGCCGATCCACAACGTGGCGGATGCCTATAAACAACCACTTCAGCGAGGGCGTTGTAGTGGGGTTATGTCAGATGCAAGTTTACACCAATTCAAAACATCTAGCACAGTACACCACATATACACGTCGTCCATCCCGTCCACGGCCCGTGCGCCATAATCTCATCCTAATCCCCCGTGAGTTCTCTCATATTAATGGCATCGGGTGATTTTTCCTTCATAGCTTGAACGAGCGCAACCTTAACTCGGGATCTCAAGTTTCAACCCCTCCATGGGCCACCGGCATGCAGGAAGAGACGGCCGCGAAGTGCGTACAGGTAGAGGCCGGTAGATGTGGTGGCGTTTCTCCTTCTCCGTGCTTGTAACGCAGTAATAGTTCCTTATACCGTTAAAATATGACGAATGTGATACTCCTCGCTGAATTCGTCGAGGTCACCGCTTCAAGTAAGCGATCTCCTTGTGTGCTGCGAGAGCTGCTCCGGCGCTATGGTCTATAGTTGTTCACTCGGCGAGCTGTGTTCTTCCTCCAAAGCAAAAGCTTCGACGCACCACGTGCCAGAGTCCCCTTCCTCTCGCCATCATGAGCGCGTCATCGAGCGCATTGGGGGACGCCGCGTTCGCAGCCCTTCCCAAGACCGTCCAGGCCAAAATAGACAACGCATTCACCTCCATCTCCCGCTCTAACCTCCCTTACCGTCAAACCCACTCTGAATCCGCGTCTGCATCATCCCTCGCTGGAGGTTTCATCCTCGAAGACGCCGTCGTCGCCGAAACCGATGCCCAACGCACTACCATCCCCAGTGCCCGCATCCCGCTCGCGTCCATCCCTGCCGCGCTGGAGCTCCTCGACCTCCCGCCGCATGACCGCCAGATCCTCGCCGTGTTTCGCGACGCCGCTGAATCCGACGACGACGACGACGACGATACTGCTGGGTACGGGGCGAATGGGGCGGATGGCAAGGAGGCCTCGGTCAGTCGCAGCCAGTGGAGAGCCGTATGCGCCGTCTTGTTAGAGGGCTCTTCTCCTTCCCCTTCTCCGTCCTCCCCCTCTTCTCACACTTCTCCCTCTTCTGCCCCACGCCAACGCGAAGAACGCAACACGCGCCCGAGACGCTCAAAAGCCGCGTACGCCCCCATCTCCGCCCATCCCGCAGACGCAGACACCTACGAGTCCGGGGACGACAGCGAGCCCTACGTCGCCTCAGATAACTCAGACCATTCCCTGCAACAAGACAAAGACCAATACGATGATGATGCCGAGGATGGGGATGACTCAGACGACGAGTACACCGGGCACGCCGCTTCTCCCTCCAAGCCCTCCAAATCCACCAAATCCGCCAAGAAATCCGCCTCCAAAGCCAAAGCCAACGCGGTGCCCGACTCCCCAGCCGCTCTCGACGCGTTCGCGCTCTTCTTCCCCTCCACCCCACGCGACTCAAATGAACTCAAGCAGAAGAAGATCACGCTGAGGGATCTGCAAGCTGCTATGAAGAGCGCGGGCGAGAAATACAAGGCTGATGATGTGCGTGCGTCTTCCCTCCCTACCTCCCTTCTTCCCTCCCTACCCCTACCACCCTCACTTTTTTCTGGACAATCGCCTTGGTCACCTACCTAATCATATATTGATATATTGTATCGTGATGTCTAACTACTACGCACCATGCAACCCACCCCAACAGCTCACAGAAATGCTCGCCCTCTTCTCCACATCCCCCGACAAATCTGTATCTTTCGCCGACTTCGCGAACATCATGGCCGCTACGGGCCTTGCTTGATTCCTCCACTCCGCTACACGCCAACGTAACCCACGTCAATGTTAACGTTCACCCGCTCTCAATGTCTCACCTCAATGTCTCACAACCCGACCTGGCCTGACCGCGACTGATACAGCATAGCGAATGAGGATCCCACTGAAGCGCTGAACGTTTTGAACTCTTAAACTCAAACGCAGGCACAAACCCAAACCGCATCGAATTTGCCCACAACCAGAGCGCTCCCTCCCATTCTTACGCTCCCATGCATACATCACATGCATACATGCATACAGAGTGCCCGCCCCCCCTCTCCCCGCCCCTCTGCACCACGGACCGTAAATATTCAATAGTCATCGGGGCTACACGACTTGAAGAGCTACAACTCCATCTCCCCGCCGTCACTTCTGCCAAGGGACACCGTCGAGCTTAAGCTTAAAGGCCCGAAAACGACGGGATACACAAAATGGGCTTTGCGCTTCATGCTGTTATGTTGTTATGTTCCTTCATGCAATAGCTCGACGGGCCAGGCCGTATCTCTGAGCGGTGTTCAGCGATGGAGATAATTCTAATGATGGAGATATGTAAGTACACGATTTTAGATTTCGGGACGAAGGAAGGAAGGAGGAAGGAAGATCTCGCATGCTCATGCCCGCATGAGGCTACCGCCGTCGCGCGCGAGGCTGCGTGCTACGTGCTATAAATCACACTGAGCAGTGGCTCGCGGTCTCCTGCTAGAATTGTATTTCACGACACTCAAAGTGCGCGATGATACAATACACCAATACAGCACCCGCGTACTCACCAAACCACCGGTATGCATATGGTCGTCGCTGGAAGACGGGTCGATACACCGACTCGGGGGCTTAGCGCTTAGCGCTTATCCAGCACCTCTACCTACAAATCCAAGAAACGCACAATAAATCTAAATCACAACTCCTGCAACGAGCCTCTCGCGCAGTCGAAGCCCGGGCAGTCGCGCAACGCGCAGTCGAAGTGAAGTTAAGTACCTTGTTGGACTTGAGTTGCTGCTGCTGCGAGGACGCCAAGGAGCTCAGATGCACGACTGTACCGTGCTCATCCAGAATATCCTGTTGGGTAAACGGCCGATTGTTCAGCCTGCCTGAGAGATTGAGAGATTCCATCAGCATACAGCATACAGCATACAGCATACGAGCATGATCAGCGAGGATAGGGCATAGCACGTACGTCGCCAGCATAGACGCGGCGTACACTGCGCGGCCCACGACGGGTATACGAGTACACACGATTATCAGAATGCGCTGCAGGCGGTGACCAGTGACCAGTCGGGTCGGTTCAAGGGATGAACGCACGGTTGCTGAGGATCTGGAAGACCGCGGGGAGGACGATGGTCTTCGCTTGCGGCACCCAAAGAGGGACTTGGTGGGATTTGGGATCGAGGACACCGAAGGAGGCGGACGTACGATTGTCAGGGTCATGACGACGAGATCTGCGACACTGATACGAATACGAGGGGGCATCAATATAGATATATTTACATCTATATATCTATAGATGTAAATATTAATGAGAAAATGTATACAGTATACGCATACGCATACGCATATGTATACGGTAAGTAAGTATACGGTTCTGACCACCACCGACCTTGTCAGGATCCCGACATTGACGGCCCAAAAGATCAGAAGATGACCCGTTCACCAATTCGTCCGACGCTTCTACACGTCGATTCATCTATTCACACGAATACGAATGAGAGCAGACATAAATGGTGAATGGGAGGGAGGAAGAATGCACGCGCGACGCAGACGTACCTGGCTAAGTATACCACTGGCAGAGCGGGCGCGGTGGATCCGCCACGCAAAGAATGGCCAGAAACGGCTGATCCAGTGATCACCATGATCGCTCGACGCTGGGTGCAGTACAACTTCTACTCCTACTTCTACTCCTACTTCTGCTTCTGGCAACGAAACGAAACGAAACGGAACGGAACGGAAGGCAGAACATGCCGTCGCGATAATAGTGCTCTTGTCGAACCTCAGCACCACCACCCGCACTCGGGCACCAGGGAGCTCCTACGCAGAAAGTCAATATACGACACCGCCACACCGCTCCGTGGCTATCCAACGCCTCGACACCCACCAAACCGCGGTCTCCAGCCTCTCCAGCCCGTCCAGTGTCCGCGCGTCGCCGAAACCCCGTATAACGCAGAAACACACACCGCGGCCTCTGAGAGGAAACATTCAACATTCACCACGGCGTGCACGGCGTGCACGTTTCGAGGATCCCGCCGCGGAGGCGACGACATGACTCCGAGTCAGCGCCGCATTCCATTCTGACGGATCTTGCGCTTTCGCTTTCGCGGGACTCACTGCACTCACTGCACTCACCACACTCACTCCACTCACCACACTCACCACACTCACCACTGCGCAGGGCACCTGGCACCTGGGAGGAAGCGGATCGCCTCGGCCAGCGCACTGAATGCTGATGATGATGATGGTGATAATAATTAATAAGTGCAGAGGAGAGGAAAGGAGTGCGGACCGCCGCCTTCGTTATAACTTATGGCGGTCCGTTGGGTAGTTGGGTAGTTGGGTAGTTGAGGAGTGTTGGTGGTAGTACCACGCCTGCAGCGAGTTGACTCCGTACAGGCTAGGCTAGAGAGTTGAACGTCGATTAGCCAATGTTGGGTGGAACTCGCGAATGCCACCACAGACCAGACGGAGAAGAAGCTGGCGAGGAATCCCGGAGGAGGAGTAGAAGCCCGCATGCCTCAAGTTTGTGTAGTTTGTGTAGCTTCTGCACTCAGCGACGTCACGGCCACGGCCACGGCGCGCAAACGCGAATTATATACCCGGCGTCCCTCACCCTTACCCTTACGACACCAGCACACTCACTCACCCTCACACAGAAGTAGAAGCAGAAGCAGAAGCGGTGAATCGTGACCAGACCTGAGACGATGAGCTGCACTCTGTTTATCAACCCACGAGAGCGGGAGAGTGGGAGAGTGGGAGCGTTGAGTCGGGCGTTGGTGAGTCGGGTGTTGGTGTGAGTCGGGCGTTGGTGGAGATGGACGATGAACGGTGAACGGTGAACGGTGAACGGTGAACGGTGAACGGTGAACGTTGAACGGTGAACATACCGCCAAATGCCCAACCTGATGATTCGAGAACGAGATCAAGATCACCGTGCGTATCACATCACCGGGCGAATGCAGCGTCAACCCCCTCGGGGACGGCACCAAGTCACCGAGTCGTGCGTATCCAATCCAATCCCGTATCCACCAAGGCCCAGACTCTCCAGACTCTCCGACTCCATCCTCTATCATCCATCCTCCATCATCCTCCCTCCCGCTCCCGACGTACGCTTAGCTTAGCCCTCAACGCAACGGGCGCGAAAAGTGCACATCCAAGCGCTCCTTCGCCCTCCCTCTTTTCATATTCTCATATTTGCATATTTTCATATTTGCATTTTTGCATTGTCAGTGGCTAGTGGCTAGTGGCTAGGGCACGAAGGGAGCGATCGCGCGTGCCCGAGCGGAAGATGCGCCGATGTGCTAGTGTGCTGATGTGCTGATGTGCTGGTGTGCTTATGTGCTGATGCCCATGATGTCTAGAGGTCCACAAGTCCGCAGCCCCAACGCCAACGCCAACGCGTCTTCGAGACCAATTGAGTATGTATAACCAAAAAGGCGTGTCGCGCGGCAGATACGGTGTTCGTGCGTGTAGGTGAGCATGATCATATGAGTCTATTTCTATTTTAGCATTCAGCATTCAGCATTCAGCATTCAGCATTCAGCATTCAGCAACGCACCATGCACCATAGCGCAGGTAACGATAGCCATGTCCTTCGGAGATCGTCGAATCGCCGAAAATCTCATCTTGCAGGGCGGTCTGTTGGACGTTTGAATTGTGTGTATCGTGTATCGGGCAATGCGTGTATGGTGTATCGTGTAATTCGTGTATGTGTGTATCGTGCAACGTGTGATGTGTATGTTGAACGTTGAACGCTCGAGATCTCATCGTGCAGCGCGTAATGCGCGCGGTACGTCACTGTGAGAATTCGCCGGACTCCAGAGATTGGTGAGTAGAGACTAGAGTCGCCCGTCCTCGCACTATCCATGCTACCTATCGCCGCCCCCGCCCCCGCTCTCACCGACCCGGCACCGGCACTGGTACCTCCATTCGCCCTTCGCCCTTCGCATCCGGCTTCAATCTCAATATCCCATCGTTGTGCTGCGTGTGAATGCATCGGCGCATTCGAACATCACACCGTTAGAGCACTAGAGCATAGTGGGTGGTATAAGCGCGAACCCGAGTCGGGAGACGCGCTTGTTTTGGCGGTGAAGGAGTACGCAGGCGTCACGCGTTCACGCCGACGAGCGTCGATGACCCCGGGGGGGGGGGGCAGTTGGGGGCGATAAGAAAGGGAGAGTAGAGAGGCGAGGGACACGGGGATGGAAGTAGGGCGAGGGCATAGTGGACTATACGATCTCACGGTTCTTGATGCCCAATTTCCTGTAGTCGTGTCAGGACACGTATTGATGCAGTGGGGATCACCAGTGGACGCGGTGATAGTGATAAAGTTGGGAGAATGGGGGAGTTTGGACTGCAGATGGAGTGTGTAGTGTTAGAGTGGAGATGTTGAGATCATAGATATTGGTGGAGGGGGAGGGAGCGGGCCGAGTTCCGTGGATGATTGAGATCATTGTCAAAGATTAGAGCCGCACTTGTGCAGTGTCTGACACTCATCTTATCCTCCTTCCTCTGCCCTCCAGATTCCTTGTGCACGTCTGGTATATCGTAGACTGTCTGCGATCGCCCTCTCCATCACCTGCACTAACACCGTATCAGCCATCGAGATAGTTTCCGAGCAAGTGAGTATGACCGCTGCAAGCAAGTACCGTGGTGCTGTCGTTGAGGTACGTCACCCACTCCCATCGCCTCCTTCTCCCATCCCTTCTTCCTACCATCCCACCCTACTGTCGATGACCTCAGTCACGCACTTACAGGACCTCCAACTTCCCCCCGCATTCGCCCTCCCATACCAAGAGTCCATATCCCGCGCCATCGAGCTCGCCTATGAGCGCGATTTCTCCCACATCCCGTGCGTCCTCTCTCCCTCTCCGCTCCCTCTCCACTCCCCCTCCTTATTCCATCCCCCCTCTCCCTCCCCTCCCCTCATCCTTACCAATCGAACGTGCACTCATTACTTCGTTGATGGATGGTGGTGGATGCCAATTGTAGTGTGTTGGACAAGAACCGCCGCCCGCTCGGGTACGTCGACGTTGCGCGCCTCAAGGAGAAGTGGGAGGCCGGCCAGGCAGATCCCGTGCGTCCATCTCCTACTCTCTTCTCCCCCCCCACCACCTCCCTCCCCCCAATCAAATAAAACAACACACTAAAACGCCCCGCATCCGCAGTCCTCCAAAGTCCTCCAATACATGACCAAGTTCAAGCGCACCCCCGCCGAGCCCTACACCCTCGTCACACCGCTCTCGCCGCTCGAGGACCTCGAGGCCTTCCTGCGCGACAATATCTTCGCCCTAGGTGAATGCCACTGCCCTTCACCCTTCACCTCTACCTTCTACTTTCTACTTTCTACCTTCTACCTTCGTTTATTCTTCTACGTCATATACTCTCCGCTCGTTTCTCTTTCATTCCCTACTCTTCATCTACTCGTTTATTCCTCAATTCCCATCCCCCGTGAATCTCAATTCCTCCACCCACCGTTCCGTTCATCGTTCAACGTCCACCTAGAATATCACACCCATCACCATCAACCACAACTAACCAACGAGAATACTGAATACTTTTGTGCTGTAGTAACCGACAACGACCGCAAATTCGTGCTCGCGGTCGCGACGGCCGCGGACCTCGAGACCTTCGTCAAGCGGCGGGGGCTCTAGCCGCCTCTCCCTCTCCCATCCATCACCCCATTCTCCACATTTCCCCCTTCTCCCCTCCATCCCAACAACAATCCCAACACAACCCAACAATCCCGCTTCACGCCCACCGAGCATCCGAGCATCCTCAATCCCTAAACTCTCAAACTCCCAAATTCCTCCCGACGCAAATGTATATGTATGTATACGCACGTCTATGTGTAGATACAGGTGTTAGCTTTCCCGAATATGCTGATGCTGTACGCCGTGTGTTTTGCATATGCCGAGTGTTTTGAATACGTCGCATACGTCGAGTATTTTGAATATTTTGAATATTTTGATGTATTATGTGTATAGGTGTCGGTGTCGGTGTCGGTGTCGGTGTACACAAGCTTCGGCGACGCTCGTCTTCCCTGTCCATGAGAAATGTCTCAATGTAAGCATAAGCAGACATCATTTCGAGATTGAGACACGCAAGACCAATGAATCAATCGTTCAACCATCACCTGAGCAGACTCAATATGTATTATCCCATTCAATAATGGATGCAGAGGCAGGTTCATTATTCATATGATGGCCGAAGTTTGCGGGAAAGTTTTCTTTTAGCAGTGCTGATGCTGATGCTCTGCCGCATTGAAATCGAAAGCAACATCTCCATGAACGAGAACGAGAAACCTGCCAAGAATAAGAATAAGAATAACATACATATGCACATGCATAATGTTGGCTTGGCCCACCTGTTAATATTCCTTGGTCACCATTAATATTCAACGTTCAACCGTCATTCCAATTTCCATGGTCGACGTAGCGGTCTATATCTATAGTTGCGGTAACCTTCCTCTTGAGTCTTGAAAGTTGACCACACACACATCCCTCGCAGCATTGATACAAATACGAATATGATTCCGGGGTTGATAATGGTCGAGTAACGCCCTCTATTCGTGAGTGCATTCAGAAAACAACGCTTGCACGTCTAATGTCTAATGTCTAGTAATAGTAATAGTAATAGTAATAGTAATAGTAATATCCTCAGACTCGTACATGTTTGTGAGCTTCCCAACACTGTGTTGTAGTTCTCAACGTTAACAACGATTGGCAGCGAATCGCGATGTGCGGCCTCTTGAATCTTGATCCTGTTTCGGTCATTTCTATGACGGGCCGTGCTGGACACAATTAGATGTAAACGATGTATCATCAATTACTAAATCCATACCTAACTGTTGTAACTGTGAGAACGAGAATAGTAAACTCAACTTGCGAAACATGAACTTGCACTTGAGCAATTGAAACTCCGAAAGCAGGACTTTGTGACTGTGGGAATGAGAACATTAAAATCAACTTGCGAAACGTGAAGTTACACTTGTGCAATTGAAACTCCGAAGATCAGCAATTGAGACTCCGATGCCTTACACATTGCCGCGAAATGTGAGTACAAGCTGCGAGCCCTTGCTAAATTCCGAAGCCCCAGAAAATTGACACTTCCCTTAGCCAGCAGTATAGCTTGTGCCCAATAAGTGGTTTCTCCTATTTACTAGATATTCAGGGACTGATGAACCGTACGTGCCATATAGTCTATTATTATCATTATACCTGCAGCTGCAGCTCCGGCCCCATATCTGTATCCTAGTTTAGCCAGGTCTCACAATATACTGCATCAATTCATCGCCTCAGTAAGTCTGCCCACTTGGCTTGCTGCCACTTACCTGCCCTGCGATGAACAGTGTACCCCTTCCTGTTGGGACAATCCGGAATGCTTTCAACAAGCTCAAGCGGATGGTAGACCTTGATTTAAACATCCAGCAAGGTGATGCTGCACGGCTGAATGATCGGGCACAGCATTGTGTTTCTTTGCTGGCCCTTGTAAACCAGGTAGGCCGTGCATATCAGCATTGCTATCCCATACTCATTCGTTCTGCAGCATGCCAATCTCTTTGATCATGAGGAGCGTGCAACAATAACATCAAGCTTGGACCTCTCTCTTCCTTTTACCACGACCTGAAAATTTAAGCGCCCATTCGTCAACGGGCTCGACAAAGGTAGGTTCGCAAGAAAAGGGAAGACATAGAGGTAATATGAACAGCAACAACCTGGGAAGCAAGCCCAGGTTTAACTTAAGCGACTGGCTATGCCCTACTCGCTCAGCTGACAGTAACGTGGTACCAAACCGCGTGAGACCAGCCACCAGTAGTCAGGCCACACGGCGCAAGGCCTCACACGAGGACAGCGACGATGAAGATGATTTTCACCCCGCCCTCGACAATACTGCTCTCGACTCAGCCCTGGCAGCGCTGAAAGCCGGCAATGAAGCAGCAGCATTGCGTAAATCGGGAGGGAAGGTTCACACCCCCACTCTTATGCCAGCACGACAGGACCCCCCTCCACATCTAGAGACACCAACACCGACACCTCACCCTCACCCTCACCCTCTGCTACAGCTGTAAAGCGTCCGTGTGAGGATGAGGTCACGCCGCCGGGACGAGGGGGCGCTCGCACGGCTCCTGCGAGGGTAAGAGGGCCAGTTCCAGGCCAGGGAGGACTTGCACCTGAAGTCTAAGGGCTGGTGACCCGAGCAGGGGAGGGCGTCAAAGCCTCGTACGATGAGAGGGCGCAGCGCGCGAACGAAGTTGAAGGTACGAAGGTAAGATTAGTTAGTTTACATAATCTACTAGTGTCGTACTACTACTTGAACTCGTTGGGACATCTACGTCTATGGGTGTGGAATACGTGTTCTACCACATCACAGTGCCCCCCAGATGTCACGAGGAGTCGTGTACAAGGAAATGGACTTCAGGAATAGTAGAGGAGAGGAGAAGGTGCATAATAACTGAGTAGGGGTGCAAGAGACGAGGAGGAGGGGAGTGTTCGGACGGGGAAGCCTAATGTATGATTTGTACAGTCTTGAAGTGGTTTGTGTATGTTGGTTTAATCGAGCGCAATGCATTCGAGTAAGGTGGAGTGTTGGATGCGTTCTTGCAGGGTGCGGCAAGGAGGGACCTGCTGACCGTCCGTGTTAGCCTGGATTGGCGACTTCGTGTTCACATTAGATGCCTGGTTTTTTGTTGGTCGCAGAGGGTAATCCCACCAGTTAATGGCGAGAGGGGGGGCGAGCCGGGGGCTGTATTCTTCCTCTTCTGCTAACCTGAACTGTTCCAGGCTTACTAGAGCGCCTGTGACCTTTACGCTATGCTGTCCTTCTGCGTTTGTGGCGAACCCTCTTGCCACTAACGCCTGCATAGCGTCCTTGAATCAAACCCAGTAGACAGGTAGGTTGTCGCTCCATGTGCGTAGGACAGTAACGACGTCTAATTCCACATATTGATGGATGAAGCGGAGGAGCGCGAATAGATCTTGTGGGGAGGCTTTGCGTTGGTCGATAAAGTAAAGCCGCCAGACGGGAGATATGGAGGGGGGTGACTGTTATGGTCCGGTCTGTTCCGAATACTATCTTTTTCGATATCTTATCTAAACGCGCAGGACGCGCCTATTACTAATTCACATTACGGTACCTTAGTAAGATCCTCACGCATAACACATGTCCGCAGTACATTACCAAGCATCCTCATGGAATCGGTGCGCGTTCCATGGAAAGACGGCTGCAGTAGGCATGTAGTAGTACATGAGGGTTGCGCATGTATTTTAGTATTTAAGTACCAATAACAGGCCCTAGAACGCTAGCTCGTTCTCTTGGGATTTCCACTAGTAATAGTGAGAACTAAGTCAACTAAGCTACTTCGTCTATTCTTTTGGTTTTAGTATTCTTGTAGGAGCCACGTTAGTCTTTGACTAGTGTCGCCCTAACAGAAGAACGAGCTACCCCTTCAACGTCCCTCCTACGCTCTACATTCTCATCCATCCTACTCTGCAGCGTCTAACTGCGAAGACCGACCTCTCGACCTCAAGACAGGATACGTTTCTCTTCCTCATTTTATCTACCGCCTCACTTCTTTCCAATTTCCGCCGATAAGCCCGTTAGGCTTTGATTGTTTGTTTCACACCCTTATAGCTTCCCACCCAATTCGAACCGCAGATTCAATACTCCAGCGGGGTAACGTCGAGACGACCCTCCGAGTGAATCTAAAGGCGCCGACTGATCACTAATCCTCGGAGAGGGGTCAGCGCGCGAGGTGCTGAGTAAGAAAGAAGGCTCTACCTCGTCGGTTCAGCAAGACGGTGTGAAGCTTCGCATTTAGCCAAGCCGAAGAACTCCTTCCTCATTCACGTTGTCCGCTCAGGTGCCGGCGTGCACTAGTTTGAAGTTCAACGTCAATTGACAGGGTACCTTACCAACAAACCCACCATGTCCCACTCCAGCGGATCGAGCTTCGATAACATCGGAGACCAGACCATGCCAGGCCCTTCGGACCAACCCGCACCACCTCCACAACCATCGACACAAGAAATGATGATGATGATGATGGACCGGCTGGCTCAGATGGAAGCTCGATATGAACAACTAGCCCAATACGTACGAACTCGACCGCCACCAACAACCCCAGCACCAGCTCCCGTTCCCGCTCCAGCCCCGATTCCCCAACCTGCCGAACCCGCACGACCAGTAGGCCCTAAGCTGGCCAAACCCGAGATATTCGACGGCGAACGCGCCAAATGCCGTTCGTTCCTCAGAAGCATCCGGATGTACATTGCGGTCAACCAGTGGCAGTTCACCAATGAAAATACCAAAGTTCTATACGCCCTCTCGTTCATCCAGGGACGAAAAGTCGATAACTGGAAAAACGAGGTTATCAACCGAGCGCTCAACTGGCGGGACCAGGGAGGGTACGACCCCGTGGTCTCTGACTTCCGAAGGTTCGCCGACGAACTGGAAAGAATGTTCGGAGACCCAAACCCCAGAGAAACAGCTATCTCCACCCTATCCGCCCTCAGGCAGGGCAACGAACCAGCTGAAGAGTACGTAATGAAGTTCGAAGCGCTACGGGCGGATACCGGCTACAACGACGTAGCACTGGTGGAACTATTCAAACGAGGAATGAACCCCGGACTGTTGAACCGGCTTTACAGCCTCC